ACACACACACACACGGTGCCGCTTTGCGGCGATCGTGCGAACGACCTGAATAGGTACCTAAAAAGCCTTAGAAACAAAAGAAAGAAACACAGAAAGAGCAGCGCTAAGAGGGCAAGAGAGAAAGGTAGGAGTAGAAAAAAGTGAATACTTAGCCCTTGACTGGAGTAGGGGAACGAGCCTCAAGAGCAACCTAAAAGCCTTTGAGAAAGCCCAAGAAACGACCAAAAGCGCAAGAAGGAAAGTGGGGGGGCAGGGAGGTGTATGTACATGTGTCCGTGTGTGTGTGTGTGTATGAATACTTAGCACTCTAGAATTACTGATTACTTAGCGGAAATGAATCAAATGCAATAGTTAGGGAGCGGGACTTTAGTCTTAGACCGCCCGGGTAGAGAAGACTAGAAAAGGGACAACAGAGGGAAAGGCACCGACACACAAGCCGCGTTTGGGTTCATTCTCCGTACAAGCCCGGCGGCTATTGGAGCAGTTAATCCAGTGGTGAGAAGAAGTCAGTTAAGAAAATCCACGGAATGAAGGGCCCGAAAAGTCTGTTACACGATTTCCAGCATGACTTCAGCGCCCCAGTGACGGGGATCACACCCAGCACCCAAGTGGGACGGCTGAGCAGTTCACACTCTGACATTGGTTTTCGGTCAGTTCAATTCCCAGGTGGAAAAAGGTGAGAGAACGGCAAGGTGGAGAGTCCGCAAATTGCAAGTGTTTGAACAAAAGGTGTTTCTCATGTCTGCAGAACTCAGCGGTGGCGAAAACGAGCGGCGCGGCGCAGCTGCTGAAACCAAGGTTTTGGGGTTGGTAGCATGAAGAACCATGGAATCAAACAAAGCAAATTAGACAGCGTGGTCAAAAGTTCAGGTTGCAGGTACGTCGAAAGAGCGTCCTCTTTCGATATCCTAGTCTGAACTTGGAGCTTCGTTGGCTCACGCCAGGAACAGGCCCGTGAGCCCCCTGCTTTCAAAAGCGATTTGGTGGTGAACAGCCCTTCGGGACAGGGTTTGACACACACACACACACTCGAGAAAGAGAAAGGGTTCCAAGGAGCAAGTGTTCACGCCCTTAGCCCATGTTGTTCTGCGCAAATGCGGCGGGAGAGGATCCCGACGGCTTCGAAAGCCAGAAGGGTGGAAGGCGTGCTTCGCCACGTGCTTAGCCCATGTTGGTCTGCGCGTAAATGTGGCCGGCAAGGGCGCCAGGCGGCAACAGTAGAAAAAAAGGGCCTACAAGCCCATGGCCAGAGGCGTGGAAGGCGTCCTCCGCCACTGCCTTAGCCGCAGCCTCTGTAGTCCTGCGCGCAAAAGTGAAGAGAGCGACCGCAAGCGAGTAAAACCGCGCAAGCCCGAGCAAAAAACTTTCCAGAGTGAGATTGGCTGGACAAAGGTGGGTTCCACCTTGCGGTGCCCTGGGCGCCGCCCGGCTTAGGGCAGGCTAAGCCGGGGTCGGCGGATTTCAGTTGTGGCCGTGTACGTGCTCGCGACAGCATCAGCTCTTCATCCCTTGTTGTCGGGCAGGTGGAGCAAGAGAAACCCATGCGTCGGCCGGAGGAACTTGAATTTGTCAATTCATTTTTTGGTGTGGTTGGACGAACATGCATGTGCAATATCAGCGTGACAATTCACTTCATCTGGTGGAGGACTCCAACCTTCGAAGTTATTCTGTGCGCTATTTGAGAAAAAACCAAGCTACTCTGACCATGAAGGCTGCTTGGTGAAAACCATGCACATAGACTCGTATTTTCTTGGTGATGTGTGGGAGTCTTTGAAGTCAGGCGGTGGGGGAGGACATCCAAGTCTTCGTGAACCCTGTCAGCAAACCTGAAAAATATAAAACATGCATGGCCCTTCAAAAGGCAATTCATGCTGGGAGCTTCAGGAATGGCCGGCCTTTCCTGCGGTCCACGCCAGATTTGAGGGCCTTGATGCTCGCTGAGGGCAGCGAGTGTACTCTGCAGGACTGTTGCATCAGGTGGTGCGTGACCTGTAGGGTCCCATTGTTGTTAGATCTAATTGTCCAATGGAAGCGGGGCAATGCTTTGTGTTTCAAGCTCGTGTGTGGACAAGCCGTGCTCAAGCAACAGCATGATGAAAGGCACATATGCGACAATTAGTTATATAATCCTTTACGCACAACGCCCCTCAATGCCTTCCAAACTTGTACAAGCTGCATGATAGCAGATACCGTGGCAGACATGGAATAGATACCGCTGATCCCGTCGTTCTTCAACCTGCACTTATTTTTAGTTTTCAGACGTCATCATCCGACCGTATGGGCGCATGTTCCATGGACACTCCACCCGCGCAGTTGAAATTCCTTCGAGAGGTGGTCGGACAAGGTCCGTCAGATGATGTCCTTTCCTCTGCGTGGAAGCGATCAAGAGGGGACCTGGCTGCCGCAGTGAATCTGATCCTCGATGCTCCCCCGCCCATGGTGCCGAAGGCAGGGGTCTCAACCATTACGCTGGATGACACCGATGGAGAAGAGACAGACAGAGCGGAGCCTGTGAAAGACGCACCGGTGCCTGACACAGAGAAGCCCGAAAGACAAACTGCCAGTCTTGCAAGCACTAGCCAAAGCAGCTTTTTGAAACTCATGAAGGTGAAGCAAGAAGAGCCTGAGCGGCCCAAGAAGAAACCTCGTACAGGATCCAAGGGTGTGGAAGCACCAAAGGGCCCCAAAGCTCCCAAAGCAAGGAGTGAACCCAAAGAGAACAAACCCAGGGAGCCCCATGTCGAGTGGGCCATGGCTTTGGGTTCCCTGGAGGTGGTAGGGTACAGCACTATGCGTTTGGATGGAGGTGCATCCTTCCAAGCTCAAGATGGCACCTTTGGGCCACTCCTGCGCAGTGGTGCTCGTTTGGAACTCAAGTGGCATGTTGAGACCAAGAAGGGGAGGCCAGGGACAGGGCTGGGAAAAGAGACAGGTCAGGTCCATTTCGAGGTTTGTGGCAAGACTGTAGGCAAATTCCCAAGCTGGACATCAAAGGCTTTGGTGCCTTTGCTTGTCAGGAAGCTTGTTGACGCTGAAGCTGTGGTGGGTAAAGACCCTCCTCGAGCCCTTGACTTAGGAACCAACATTCCTATCTTGGTCCACATCTCTTTGCGGTCCTCCGCCCTGCGGACACCTGGCCAAATGGCTGACCTTGGGAAGAGTGTTCCAGAGGCAGGGAAAAGCACGGCCAAGGGCCAAAAAGCCGTGCAGAAAGCAGAAGCTGACAGAGAAATCCAGCGCACAGCCACCAGCATGCTTCTAGAAAAACTGAAGCTCCCTTGCCCGCGTAAAGCCTTGCTGGAGGATGTTCATGAAGGGACTGGTAGCGGGACAGCAGTCGGCACTGTGGCACAAACTGGGGAGGCTGGAGTGGTACAGGCGGAGGAGGAAGGTGAGGACCAAATGTCCACTGCAGCTGCAGCCCAGTTAGGACGTTCCGATCAACTCGAGAGGCATGAGCTGCCAGGCATTTTGTTGCCCGACAACATCTTTGAAACGACACTCCGGCCCTACCAAGCAAAGGCAGTATACTGGATGTGGCAGAGGGAGAATCCAACATCCTCTTTGCCAGATGCCTTCAAAAATGGAAGCTTGGACAAGTCAGATGATGCGCAGCGAACATTTCGCATCGCTACCTCAGCTGAGGCAGGGCAGGAGAGGCAGCTCCATCCAATGTGGGACGAGTACGAGCTCCCGGACAGTTCAACGGCGCCGCTTCCAGGTGTCAGGGAACCACCACGATTCCTATACTACCATCGAACCAGTGGAGCTTTGTCTCTTGACTTCCCTGATGCTGCTTTGGCTTATTGTCGAGGAGGAATTCTGGCGGATGATATGGGCCTTGGAAAGACTGTGATGTGCCTGGCATTGATGGCTTTGGACTTTGGTGAGCTCCCTACAGCTCGGACTGCTGCGCCAGAGCTTCGAGCGCTGGAAGAGGCTGAGGTTCCCTCAAAGCAGCGTTACCCTGTCCTAGACCATGGTGCTGATGGTGCTGATCGCGTCGCTGGTGTGCTCGTTGTGGCTCCTTTGTCTTTGATCAGGCAGTGGCAATCAGAGGCCCAGAAGCATTTTCTTTCCTCAGCTTGCCCCACAATGCACGAGTTCCATGCCTCAGGTTGCAAGGTCCCCTTGGAACAGCTGCGAGATTATGGGATCGTCCTCACCACGTACAACACACTGGTATCTCACTTGGCCAGCAGACAATTTTCAAACATTTTTCAAACTCCTTTATAAGAGGATTGCTGAGCTCTCATTTACGGGGGTTATATATATATAGACTTGTGATAGTTTCAAGAGATCGAATTGAATCGAATCGATACTCATGATCACTACAAGTTATATAATATAATAGATCTAGGAACCAAAATGAAACAGATCATTTTCGTGCGAGCGCTTCTTCAAGGAAGCTCCCTACCCTCAGGCGGGGCGGCGGGGAGTTTCCTTGAAGAAGCGTGAGCTATCCTGCCTCCTAGCTAGGAGCGAACTAGTCGCCCTTACTTAATTATATAAGTAGGCGCCTACTTAATTAAGTAGTAGGAGGGCAGAGCGGGCCACAAAAAACATCGACAAGTGTCCGGACTTATGCTCCGATTTGTTCTTGCTTGCTTGTGGCTGCCCAAGTTCGTGTCTACTTCAAACAATGCTCCGTTTCCGCTTTCGTCCCCCTCCTGAGGCATCTCAAGGAGGTGACTCGCCGCTTTTCCAGCTCTACTGGCGAAGAATTGTTCTTGATGAGGCTCACTCTATCAAGAACCGCTGCAGCAGGCAAGCCCAAGCCGCCTTTCAGCTGCGAGGCTTTTGCAGATGGTGTGCTACTCATCATTTACTTCAGAAGTTTTTCCACCGCTGCTCTTTAAGGACTGCAGGTGTGAGTAAGATTATGTAGTAGAATAACACAAGGCTTCAGCCCGCAATCCTGAAATGACGGGCTCACCAGGAATTCAGTTTGGGTCTGCTTTTCTGTTTGGTTCCAAGGTTGAAAAGGCAGGCTGGTATTGGTAGTGTAGCATTAGCTCTCAAATTTTAACGCTCCGCACGTTGGGGCGACTCAAACACCCTACCTGGCCACCTCTTGAGGTCACTGGTACGCCTCTTCAAAACAGTGTGGAAGAGCTGTTCTCTGCCATCCGCTTCCTACGCGTTGAGCCTTGGTGTGCCTGGCCTTGTTGGCGTCAATCCGTATCTGTTCCTCTTGACAAGGGCCGCCAAGGAGATTCAGCGGCAATGACCTTGGCATTGGACACCGCACGCAGAATTGTTACTCCACTGATATTGCGGAGAACGAAAAGCACGGTGGATCCTTCTACAGGCGAACCTTTACTACGATTACCCGCTAAGCATGTCCATGTGCATCGCTTGCAGCTGTCGTTGGCCGAGCGCGACTTTTATGAGACACTCTGGACCAAGGCCAAGACTCAGTTTGACACTTTCGTGGCAGCTGGTGAGGTCCTGTCAAAATACACCCATATTTTGCAGCTGATCCTAAAGCTCCGACAAGCCTTGTGCCATCCTTTCATGGTTTTCGCCCGTGAGCGCACGAAAGATGAAGATTTGGACACTCTTGAAAAGAATTACTTGTTGGGTGCTAGTGGGGACCAAGTTTCGGAGACCTTTGCCAATAAGCTCTTGGAGGAAATCAAGAGTGGGCAGCTGAGTGATTGTGCAATTTGTTGCGATGAACCTCAGGATCCCACTTTGACCCCCTGTGGTCATATTTTCTGTCGGGAGTGCTGCTACAAGATCATTCATCAGTGTTCCGGGGAGTGTCCTGTTTGCAGGACCGGAGGCATAACCAAAAAGAGCTTGAAGGTCCTGCCAGGCGCCTCTCGGTTTCCTGCGCATCTCATGGCCAAGGCTTCTGCCGAAAACAAAGGAACTGGAGCACATCATAGTACCAAGATGAAAGAGCTTCTGACCCTCTTACGTGCAGACATGGCTGAAGGTCGGCGTGCAGTTGTGTACACCCAGTTTACATCTTTCATGGATTTGATTTCTGGGGCCCTAGACGCTGAGGGTATCAGCCACAAAAGATTTGATGGATCCCTAAAGTTGGAGCAGCGTGATGAGTGCGTGAAGTGGCTGGCCGAAGAGGCTCCAGGTCATTCGGGGGCAAGAGTGCTCCTGGTGTCTCTGAAGGCAGGTGGTTCTGGGTTGAACTTAGTGGCAGCTTCAAGGCTGTATTTGATGGATCTTTGGTGGAACCCTGCAGTTGAGGAACAGGCGATTCAGCGGGTACACCGAATTGGGCAGAAGCAAGAAGTTCACATCTTCAGATTTGTTGTGGAGGACAGCATCGACATTGACTTGTTGGAGCTACACCGAGCCAAAGAACGATTGCTGGAAGATGCTCTTAGCGGTGGGGGGGCACAGTGAAACAGCGGCCAAGCTGACTGTAGATGACTTGAAGCGCCTTTTCAATCCATGCCGTTCGTCTTTGCGCAACCTGAAGAATGGGAGCTCGGACAAACCTGGGGACCCCACAGTGGACCCCACTGGTCCAATTCCAGATGTGGTCATGCAACCAGCCGAGCAAGAGGTGTCTGCATGTGGCACTGGAACTTCTGCATGCCATCCGGGATTTGGCACTCCGGCCTGTCAGGAACCTGTGCTGGAGGCTCCAATGGCACAGAAGCAAGAACAAGCAGAGCCGCCCTTGTTGGCGGTTTGGGATGCTGCTGGAGATCTACTTGAAGGCTCTTTGGCTGTGCAAGACGGCCACATGCCCAGAGTTGACTCAGCTGATGTTGTCATGCAGCAGTCTACCCACGAGGGAGCTCCACCCTTGGCATCTCAAGAAGAGTTGGACGTGTCGAAGACACAAGATCCACCCTTGGTAGCAGCATGGGAAGCTGCTGGGGATCTACTTGAGGGGTTGGAGGGCACCGGAACTTTTGGTTTTGGTGAGGATGACATCTCGGACAGCGAACTCCTTGCAGCTTGCCACGCTGCAGAAAAAGCTTTGGTGCAGACTATGGACGGGGAGTGCGACCTTGGCTTTTAAAGCCATTGTTGATCCATCGACTGCATCGGCACAGGGGCCAAAAGAGGGCTCTTGCACACGCTGCGCATGGGTGCCGTTGGATGTGGCCACTCGCCAGGCCAAATCCCGATGTTGCATGAGTTAGACTTTGCCTTGATCAGGAGCTTTGCCCATCGTGCTCTGACTTGAGCCAAGTGCCTAGCCTGCACCACCTTGTGGCAGCTAACGATGCTACTGGCAGTGCGCAACTCGGCAGCATTCGTTTGGCAGAACTCACCCCCACCGTTTCCCCATTCCGCATATTGCCAGGAAGTACAAGGCAGCCGCGATTTGCACCCTGTTTTTACCTTTTCGTTTCTCTAAACTCTAAACTTTAAACTTTAAAGGTATGCGCCATCGTATGCGTTATGAAAACATCAACAACTATTGTCAATAGCACCCAGGAAGGCCATCGCGGAAGAGCTTTGCAAAAGCGTGCGGAGCTTTCTGACAGCCGCCCGGTCAAACCTGCATTACGTTGCAGATTGAAGCCATTATGAATTAGATCATATACCAAGAGAAAGTTGCTCGAGCCAAAATTGGTGCTCAGCCATCCTCAGTCCGACCAAGGCTAGTGCTTTTGCAGCCCCTCCCCAGGCAGGGAGGGCTGAGAGAACGCACGAGAGCTTGTGAAACAAGCCATAAGCCGTCACTTCACTTTGCGGTGCCAAATTGCGGATAAAGCAATGAGCCTGAAGCTCGTCCCACAACCTTACTTAGCTGTATACGCCTGTATACTGTATACTTGCATTTTTCAAGCATAGGAGGTTCAACATTTGCGCGACAAAATCTCAATCCAGCTGGTGGAAGCAGAGCTGGGGTCAGTGGATGCCAAGTTCAGTGCAAGTATGAGCTGGCCGCTGCAGCTGTTGGTGTTGACAGGTGGTCTTGGAGTTTCAGAGCAACTGGCTGGCGAATGGAGCCCGTCTTGACTTGCAAGATTTGCGGGCTGGCTACGCCGAAGTCCCCCAGGAGCTTGCTGAGTAACCTAATAGCGATGGCCTCCAACCTAGTAGCAATGGCCTCCAAGCTAGTAGCGATGGCCTCCAACCTGATAGTAGCCTGTCCGTGCTTTTCTGTGTCAGGGAAGTGCAAACGCAAACGCAAGTTGAATTCGGGCCGGAGGGGCATTGTTGGCTCTGAAGACGCAGCTGCTTTTGATATCTTGCATCTGGAAAGAGTTGTTCCAAGCCGACTTGCTCCTATCTTGACCAGGATGTACTGAAAGGTGTGACCTTCAGTGTGGAGCCACGGATGAAAGTAGCCGTTGTTGGAGTCTAGGATGCATTTAGCGGAGATTCTTTGAGAGGCAACCTATGAGCAGCGGAAATCTCTTGCAATCTTCCGTTCTTCAAGTCCAGCAATGGCCAGTCATCCCAAAGAAGACCTGCTGCTTTATAATAGCTTCAAATTCAAAAGTGCTGAGGCACCACTGGCTGTGGAAAATCCAGCATGCTGTGCCCTGGCTTTTCTCTATATAGTGGCCTCAATTGTAGCATTGTGGCAAGCACACTCTTTCATGCGTGCAAGTCTTGCTTGGACATTGATTGTGGTTTGCCAACTGGTGAGGGGCTAGCTGATCCGGACTTTGCTTCTTCACTTTCTGGCTTTCAACGATGTTGTGCTTTAGATCGGGTATACAAAAAATTCGACTGAAGCATCTTATCAAACGTTGTTTCCTAATTCGTGCGCATTTGTGTTTGTTCGTGAAGTTGCTAAGCTTGCTGCAACTAGTACTGTGCCTGCTAGACTGCGGGACGGAGTGGATCATGTTGGAAGGAACCTTCCGCCAAGCAATTACTGACATCATCCTTGATTTTCTTTGGGTATAGGAGTGTCAGACCTCGTCAAGACTTTCGATTTAAACACCTGAGAGAGCATTTGTTTCAAAGACCAACAGACTAACTATGGGTCTTTGGTTGGCGTTGGCAACTGTTGCTTTGCCAGGCTGGCCCTGCTCCGCATCATAGAACCCCGTGGTGGCCGCATTATCATCAACGGCAGCCTGGACTGAGAAGCGCTCCTGAAAGTAATATTGCTTGATTTCCAGGTGGGCAGGCCAGGTGAATCTAAATTCCTTTGGCACTCAATTTTCAATGGGTCAATTCAGCGCGGAAAAAACATGCCGACACCTGGGGTGCAAAGCAGCCGTTTGTTGTTTGCATATGTCCAGCTCTCTCGGCGATCGGGCGTTCTGTGTTGCTATGCAGAATCCTCTCCTGCTTGAGCTCCCTTTTTCTTGCAGCCCCCATCAGGCATTGACACCAAAGTCATTGGTCTTGCCAGGGCCTTGGGCACTGGAGCGTCCTGATGTCTTTGCATTCCAATATCATGACTCATGACAGTTTTCGACGTTCAACGCTGGTCCAGCAGCCGAGGCGACGCTACGAACTGCACTGGGCTTGGTACCACAGGTGCGCTTTCGTTTGGCTTTTGGTAGCTTACAGTACTGTATATAATTGTTCTTTGTGGAAATCAGGAGCCAATGCTTTTCACTGGCACTCTGCGCCACAACCTGGACCCGTTCAAAGTATACACTGATGGCCGGATCAAGCGGCTTCAACAAAATTGAGGCATTATGACATTATTGTGGGAAAACAGGTCTTGTTACTAGTAGCTTCTTGTTCCTAGTAGCAATGGCCTCCAACCTAATAGCGATGGCCTCCCCCTAGCAGCTTCTAGCTACTGACACCGGAAAACATTTGCATGACGTCATTTTTTAAACACACACTTTTTGTTCACACCCTGTCACACCAAGGAGAGCGGTCAACTGCTGCCACCTCGAGAGCTTCGTGAATTCACTTCCCCTCGGCCGCGCAGCGTGCAGTATGGACGGTATAGTCGAAACGAATTGACACTGCAATGTGTCCTTTCCCAATAAAGCTAAAACCCTGTTCAAATTCAGACAGAATTGTGAGTCGTTCCTTGATGCAAGTCTAAGAATCTTCTTGAAAGCTTGGAAGGGACATTGATGTGTACCTGCTGAGATTGTCACATGTCAATTCAACTTAAACATCTTACTGTAGACTTATATAGCTTGGGCTTAGTTTGGACTTAGCTTCCACTTACGTACTACAAGTGACAGTGAAACCTCGGTCAAAACAAGTCCAAGTTAGTGTGAGCTGACTTACTGTAACATCGACTTCACAACTATATAAGCACCTACACAATCACTTTCATACAACTTTAGTCAAGTCAAAGGCAATTTGGAGCTAACCTCGGCAAAGGTTCGCAGACTTGAAGCCAAGGTTGTAAGTATATATGCAACCGGTTGTTGTAAGCCCAAGTTGGCGATTGTTCAGGCAAGTGGCACTGGATCTGGCTTGGAACAAGAAGCACAGGAAGCAACCACAAACTCGGAAATTAGCACGTACAGTCTGAATGCCACATGCCACACCGCAGCCTAGGTGAAGACACGCCTTATATAATAAACTAGGTAGTCCATAAGACGGTCTAATCAATCAAAGGTTCAACAGATCCAACAATTTCGAAGACAGTGGACGAGGACGGCACATGCATGTGTGCAGTGAAGAACCGAAGCAAAGGCTGGAGGAAGTTGAGTCTAAAGTGCATCGCTACTAGTAGCAAGAAGCTACTAGTAGCGATGTCCCTGTTACTAGTAGCGATGCCCTTGTTACTAGTAGGGTTAAACCAGGGACCATGATCAAATAAGCTTTGGCATCCAAAGTGCGGGTACACATTGAGGCGTCCACCAATCTTCCGTAGCTTTGTTGGGCAACGTGGGAAAACTGGCCGTTGCCCCCCGCCAAAGTCAGTCAGTAAGCCCATGGGGCACACACGCACACACGTCGGTGCAGTTTTGTTTTTTTGATGATGATATCGTATCATATCATGTTGGGTTCATATAACATCATATGTATTTATTGATCCATTTTGGTATTACTTATATTGTGTTCTTGCTTACTTTCGGGCCACAGGGTCGCTCCGGTCTAGTTTTGGGAAGGGGTGACGCTGGGTCTTCCTGGACACACGGAAGTGTGACTCACTGTGACACTGTTCTTGTACCTTTTCTTCATGCTGTTGGCACTTTCTTCCTACCCACCTGAGGTTTGGATCACCAAGTGTCCGATGAAGGCATAGAGTTGTCCAGTGCTTGAAATTAGGGTGGCGCTTCGTATAGGAAGTATTTCTTAACAGTCGAGCAATAGAAAGAGGACAGAAGGACTAAAGAACACACTGACAAATACTCAGAACAACAACTAATTGATCTACTAGTTTCAGTTTGCCTGACATGCCTCATCCTCGTCAGGTGGAAACCTGAGCTTTGGACAACGGCAGCTCTTGTGCCTGGCACGGATGGTCTTGAGGCATGGCGGCTTGCGGCGAGGGACGTTAAAGGACGTCACGAAACTGGAAAAGAAAAAAGAGAAGAAAACAGGGATGAAAAGAAGGGCCGGGCCTCCTTTAAATAGGGAGCCTTATCGATTTGTGATAAGCCAAGTCCGCCAAACTCGTTCCAGGCAGCCGGCGCTGCTCTTGCTGGATGAGGCTACTTCAGCCATTGATCCTGCCACCCAGGAGCGCATTCCACCGCTTCGAACGTGGGCAATGGCCCCATGGGTCACGAGTCAGTGCTTCTGTGAGGAGTCAGTGCAAGACACGATCAACAATGCCTTCCCAACCTCAACGATGTTGGCGGTGGCGCATAGGCTTGAAACTATCATGGAGCCCTTCAGCTGCAAAAGGAGCCTTCATGTGTCAAAGGGCAGGACTGGACAGGTGGAGACTTGGGGCCCTGCTGGTGCGTTCCCGTGAGTCAACACCAGCTTCTTGTTACTACTAGTAAGGCACCTGTTACTAGTAGCGTGGCACTTGTTCCTAGTAGCTTCTTGTTACTACTAGTAAGGCACCTGTTACTACTAGCGTGAAATGGGAACTATTATATATAGATCTCTCTCTCTCTAGGTGTATTCTGAATGCTGACACGTTTGGTGTACTCAACTGGCTGTAAGGTTCGATCAAGCCTCGCACTAAGCCCTCAGAGAGAAGTCAAAATGAGTGAGTCTTGGGCCTTTTGGCTTGCTGGCCAGCCTGAAGCTGCAGTTTTCCACCTTATCTATAAGATATCAATTGTTTGTTAGCTTGATGTGGCTTGCTCTTAGGTGGTGGTCCTAGATGGGGGCCGCGTAGCAGAGGAGGTTGGATGGACCAAGTGTCATTCCCAACTGGGTTTGCATTCGACCTTCTTTGTTCCGTGAGATTGTGAGTATAAGCTACTAGGAACAAGTGCATCGCTTCTAGTAACAAGTGCCTTACTAGTAGTAGCAAGAAGCTAATGGAAACAACAAGCGTGTTGTTTGCAGAATGCCCTGATTGACTTTCCGGTGCAGGGCCCGGTGAAGGAGGTGGCAGCGAAGCCTGGCGGCCTCTTCAAGCGTGCTTTGGCAGCGGATCTTTTTGATGTTCAAGCTTGCTTTTCGCAGCTTTGCGGGAGGGAGGGGGGGAGGGAGGAGAGAGAGAAAGCCAAACTTGCAAGCCTGTTGCAACCCAGGCATGCTTGACGCGAAAGAGAGTCTTGATTCAAACCTGAGAAAGGACGATGCGGTGGCACCGGTTCCAAAAAGCTGAGTGGCAGCTTTGAGACTGACAACTTTGCACAAGAGCGGGGGTTCTGCTAACGCTTAACTTGACTCGACTCAGTTTGGTGCACTCAGGAAGTGGTGATGATTGTGTAGCCATGCCGCGGCAATTCAGCTATTCACAGTCATGCTACGTTCTGCACAAGTTTCCAAGAAGAAACTTGGAGCTGTGTGATGAATCCGCTCTTTGCCCTCTCAGTTTCTTTCCTAACCTGGCCTATTGGCAGTAAACATTGACGTGCTGTTTTGGTCGCCTAATGCCGAGAGGGTGGCAGCTGATCACGGTGTCCAAAACTCGGCTTGAAAACAAGAGTCTACCATGTGATTGCGCGTGGAATGGGCTGCTCATTGCGGCAAAGTGAGGGTTTCGAAAAATCCAGATTTGATTGTACGTTGGCTTCAGCTAGCGGCTGGAAGCTAGATAGTGCTGCCGGCCCGCAAGTGCAAGAATGGAAGGTGCCTAGCCCTAGCTAGGCCAAAAGGATTGCGAAATCCCAGGGCGGTGCTTCATGATTTTGCTGACCGAGGTGCGTCTGAAACTGCTGAAGGACGAACTTGGAACAGGCAAACTACACAGGAGGTCACTGAAGCTTTGGCACAGAAGAGAGGTCAACGAATCACGTGGAATGCTTGTCTCACAGCCTCATTGTCGTGAGCCAAGGACCTCTTTAACGACAGAATCAGGCATGTCTTTGGCCAGTGCGTCTCCTTGTGTGAGCAAGTTAGGAGATAGTGTATTGCGTTCTTGCTGAAGGCGAAGCCTTGATGATTTGGCAGCTGTGACCGGGGAAGCTGAAGATGTGCGGAGGGAAGTCTCTTGGTGACGCAGTTGCTTTGACAAGAACCCGGCAACCTTCAAGCACAGTGAGGGGATCACTTTAGATGGAGCGGCGGTGTTTTTCCAAGGAAGATTTTGCCAGAGGCACAGCTTGCCTTACGTTTCAAGACGTTAGCTTCTCTTTGCGGTCGAAGTTGCGGCAGCAAGAACCGAAGAGAAGCATAAGCTTTAGAACGATCAGTGGCGACTTGGAGCAGCACTGCTCGCAATCAGTTTGGCGTAGAAGTTTGCAAGCATTCTTTCAATCCTTAATGTAGGGTGGGCTGTGGCGAACACTTGAAACAATACACAACTAACGAATACACACTGGTGTACGAAACAAATTGTGAAAGACGAGATGTACATGGATGAGGCATGAGATGTTCCAGAAGGCCGTGGCCGTACCGGCCCAACCTGTTTGGCCATGACGTTAGGCCTTAAGCCATCCTACGCCCCTTTTGGAAAACTCATTGAGCTTGCAGGAGGTGCGCATTTTTATTTTCCATTTTGCAGCCACTCGCAGCCACTTGCAAGTGGCTGCCAAGTGGCTGCAAGCGACTGCTACTTCTGTCCGGAGAATATCATGATTTCGCCGCACGCAGTTCTGAAGAAAACCAAGATTTCTGCAATGCTGTTCTGCGAAGAAATTCCGGTTTTCTCCCGAGCTGAGCTCGGAGAAGCCATGAAATAATCCAAGACTTTTCCGATAATAAGTTCCAAATTTCTGCAGAGCTAGCCACGAAGAAATCTTACAGCTTTTGCACAAAGAACTCAAAGTACAGTGCTTGCTTGAGTGACAAGTGGCTGCAAGTGGCTGCCAAATGGCTGCCTGAGCAAGTGGCTGCAAGTGAATGCAAAGGCAAAAATCACGAAAGGTAGCCTGGTAAGGACTACTTGGAGTTTGCTTTGCGAAGCAAAGGGAAAGCAAAGGGACTGGCTTGAGAGCTTGCTCGGGACTAAAGATTGGTAGATCAATGTCTAACACCCCCACCCGCCCCCTCCCCCCCGCCCCCTCCCATGTGATGAATGATTGATAAATCAATTGATTCGACCCCCCCCCCTCCCCTCCACTCCCCTCCCCGTCCCCTCCCCTCGTCGCCAGCACTACTAAATTCTGGACATAAGGTGAAGTCATGCGCTTAACAGTCACAGCAGTACGACGCTGGCCATGAGGTTGCGCAATACAGCACGAACCCTGCGCAATGACGTCGCGCAATGCAGCTTCGATGCCGCCCGTGCGCACCCGGCAGCCTGACACAGCGCGTACTGCGTTCACAGACCATATTGCTCGACACCAACGAGCATCGATGCAACACAGCCTCTCTGCAAAGCCCTGTGGAGAAACCCCTCGCGTCGCGGAACACCATTCGACTCAGCCTTATACCCTAGCGTGGCGAAATCTTACCGCATCGTGGAGCACACCCATCATAGCGTGACGTCCATCCCTGGCAGTACCGGCCGCACCCCTCCAGCACTATCCTTACAAGGGGGTTGGTCACTGAGTCACTGCGGCTTCGACGCAACGCGTGCAGGCCTGTAATCCTGACACAGTGCGTGCAGCTGTGGGACCATAGCTGGTACACATGCGAGCGTTTACGCATTGCCCGTTTTACGCACGCCTGTTTTCACACACCTAGACACAAACGAGCGTCGACGCAACGCAGCCTCTCTGCAGAGCCGTGTGGCGCAATCTGACCGCAACGGAGTTCCTCTTGAGCCTTCTTATGCCTTCTTGTGCTCTCTGGCTTTGTTGGTTTCATCCATGACTGACCAAGGGGCACGTTCCTGAAACACCGGAGACAGTCCCTCACCAGAAAAGGTCCCGACAGCTACTCGGTCCGTCTCTACCTTTCGTGTTTCCCCGCTCAAGTCAAAATGTACGTCATTTGCTCGCTCTCTGGGAAAACTGGTGACTGAATCCGTTCGTGCTGCTTCACTTTAGTTCTCATAGTTTGGCACTCCATGCAAGTACACTGTATATGTATATTATATAAGTGAAGAACGGTGATTCAGTCATGCATGCTGCCTTGGAGTGAACACAGGCTCAGGTCTTGTGCCGCAGGCGGAGTCAAGTTCGCTAGGCTTTTCGCTTTGGTGAAAACCGCTTGCGCCCGCCTCTTGCCATTTGCGGGTGTCTTCAGTGGCACTGGAGCCTCGTGTTGTTGGGCCTTGTGGTTGGCCGTGCTTGCTCCGCTCGCTTGCTGCCGCACTTTAGGACCTTTTGCACCTCCAGGTTTCGAGTCAGGACATAGAGGACAACTTCTTTGCCTTTTGGCCTGTTGGCCTTTCTTTTGGGCAAGCGCCCGAGGAGTCCGACGGAGAAGGGAAAAGGACTTTGAATTTGAGATTTTGCTGTTTCACGACTGGTTTCAAGAACGCCAAAGGTGTTGGCATGGCGGATGACAAAGACGCCAACTCAGGGGCTTGGAGCAGAGTCCCCACGTGGGATGGCTCTCCACGGACGTGGAGGGCATTTCGCAAAGAAATGAGCTGGTGGCTGGCAGGTCTTGACTTGAACTCGACGAAGAAGTACAATTTAGCTGGCAGGTGGCTCCGCCAGAGCGGGGTGGGACGACAAAGAAGAAAAACATATGAACCTCATGAGTTGGCATTTCAGCCGGAGGTGAGGCTGCCGAGCCCCACCACTGCCAACGAGGAGATTGTGACCCGGAAGGCCCTTTTGCGGGGATCAACAAACTGCTTCGATCCCCAGAGGAGATGACTGGGAGGTCTTCGCCGGAGAAAAGGGGCGAACTCAGGAACATGTTCTACCTCGAACTTATAGAGGACTGGTGGCCGAGCTCAAGTCCGAGGGTGTGGTCATTGGAGATGGTGACCTTGGATGGTGGTTCAAGAACAAATTGGGACTTGATCTCATTCGAACTCAATTGTTGGAGACAGCATTGGCCGGTGCGGAGGATTTCGCCACCATCGAGCGGGAGGTCCTGAGGTTGTTCAATGATCTTCACTCGGCACACCCACTCCATCGACGAGCAGGAGATGGAGACCAGCGAGCTCCCTTGTTGCACAGGTTCCCTCTATTCTAAGTTTCCACCCGGACATTTCTCAAGGTTTGTCGCACAGATGCTGCAAGTGGCCCTAGCTCAACCTAATGTGTAGGTCATGCTGCAGATCCCGGTCAATGCGTGTTGATGCTACAAACATAGTTAGACATAGTTCCATTACATGTTAACTAGACATGGCTTTAGGACCATGCTTCGCGATGAGGCCGCGAAACATCCACGAAAGATATCCCTTTCCCCGCGAAGAATGAATGGCCATTCCATAGTAATGAAATAATTTTGATCAACCACCGTTAGTGTATCATACATGCTGGTTGTAATGCGGTTGTGATTGCAGGGTTCAACATGAGAGTGTGTTTTCGTATGGCCCGATGATTTGATGGCCCCTGGCGTCTTCCATTCAGCATGTAGTGCGATGCAGCCCGTTAAGGTGGGCAGGCCAACATGGCTTGCAGTAACTACTGTACATAGAAGTGCTATATGACTCTATCTTAGATATGTTTCAATGGTGTGCCCGTTCCTTTCAATACAATGGACTTAGGGTTTAGGGGATCGACGTTCTGCAATGCAATGCGTGATGCCAGCGCAGGCAGCATGTGTACTTCGACATGTGTGTGTGTGCATTCCAGTCCAGCTTGGATAGCTGCTATACCATGAGGCCATGCTCAGGTTCATAAGTTATTGTGAGACGGTGTGTTGTGATTTTACCCAGTGATGTATTGTGCGGTGGTTGTGTTGCGGGCAAAGCCTCCGAGTGTTGGTCGCCACACCGAGTACTTTAGAAACAGAGTGCAGGAACGCACAGCCAGGAAGATCTCCCCCAATTGAGCAATCCAATGTAAAGAAGACGAGTAGCATTGTGCTGTGTCGTGATCCATTTGTTCTCCTGCATCCTGCGAGAGCGCATCATCGGAGCTAGCCCTGGACTCCCAAGGCGATGGAACAAAGCAGATACTCGCTCCGATCAGTGGACATTACGAACCTGGGAATTTGGTAGCCCTCATGGGACCCTCAGGAGTGATTAGAAGTGGCATCATTAGCATGATCTCAATTGCGGCCACACCTTCTCATGCAGTGGTGTGCATTGTCAAAGTTTTGCACACAGGATCGGGCAAAACAACAATCCTGGACATCCTTGTAGCTTGGTTCAAGGGCTCGGACCATCTTGGGGCTGTTGGCCCGTTTGAGATTACGTGTTTCCTTGCTGTTTTCTGAGGCCGGGAAGAAGGCTCCAACAAAGGCTGCCTCTGGCACAATGACAGAACGCAATCTGTGTGTTTGAAGCGCTGTCAAGAATGGGATAAGTCTCCGCACAGTTCAGAACGTGGCAACGGCAGGGCACAGTTCACGTCAATGGCCGACCTCGTGACTATCTTTGGAACCGCATTGCCGCCTATGTCCCGCAGGCCGAAGCAGCGTTGCTTTGTATTGAGCCTTTCTTTTGCTTTTCGTGGATTGAAGCTTTAGACCTTTGTTTTCTTAGTTTTATTCCTTTGTTCTTTAGACCTTTTTCCTTTAACCTTTTCCAACCCTACCTTCCTTCTTTTCTTTCTTCCTAGGGCTTGCAGCTGGTCGAGTCGCCCTTGTCATGAGAAGTTCTTTGGGATTCCCGAGCTGTTGCTTGTCAGGATGACTCGATGTTTGCGCACTTGACAGTGGAGGAGGTTATGAGGTCCTTGAGCCATTTTGCCATTCTTCTAAGGATCCAGGGAATCTAGCAAATGTAAAGTGTTTGTGCGCCTAAGAATGTTGAACCCTGCCAGGTTCCACGCTGACTTGAAGATGGCTAGGCCATCTAGGGTCACCCCAGCTATGGCCAGGAAGCAGATGGAGAAAACCCTGCAAGTCTTTGGCCTTTCTGAAGTCAGGCGAGCAAGTCAGAATTTATAGATCAAAGGAAGTTTCGACGAGTAAGTTCCGTGTTGCGAAATACAACAGTTTGCGTGCGCGTCGTGGTGGGTGAAACAAGGGTGATAGGCTGATAGGTGTTTGGAGGTGATTGGTTGTCAAGGTGAATGGAACCAGATTGTCAGGGCTGCAGGGTGGGGAAGTAGCCGCGGCTTAGAGAGCAAACCAGGAGATTTGTTGAAACCGCTGGTGATATGGCACGTTTCTAGCAGTACTGAAGTGGCACCTCTGCATGGGAGGCAAATAGGTAGGTCTCAACATATTTCGACTGGTGGTAGGGCGTTCCGTGGACCAAGCAGAAGTAGGAAAGTCCCCAAACATGGAGATTTTCTAGAGAAGCTATCTGATATCTAAATAGAGGTTCCTAGAGCTTTACCATGTCACTGAATACTTTCTTATAACTATATCAAACACGGGGTATTTAAGGGCTTACGCCCGACAGCCGGCCAGGGGCCCAAGCAAAGGGCTGGTTGCAGTCGTGGGAGTGTGCATGTTGTTGTGGTGGTGGTAGTGGTTGTGGTTGTTGTTGTTGTTGTAGTGGTGGTGGTCGTGGTTGTGATGGTTGTGGTGTTGTGGTTGTTGTTGGTGTTGTTGTTGTTGTTGTTGTTGCTGCTTGGTTAGCCTCGCTTGGGTCGATGTTGGCGTACCTTGGGGGCGATCTGGGCATCTTGGGAGCTATGCTAGCCCATCTTATCGCTATGTTGGGGCTATGTTGGCCCAGCTTGGAGGCTATGTTGGCCCATCTTGGGGCTATGTTGGCCCATCTTGGGGCTATGTTGGCCCATCTTGGGGTTATCTTGACCCAGCTTGGGGGCTATGTTGGCCCATCTTGACCCTATGTTGGCCCATCTTGGGGCCATGTTGGCCCAACTTGGGCACTTTTTTCGGCTTATGTTGGGCCATGTTGACCCATCTTGAGCCACAAAGCCGGAAAAATGGAACAAGCCAAAAACACTGTAAAACGCGGTAGCTTCGGTAGGTCGGCGGTAGGTCGGCGGCAGGGGGGGGGACTCCACTCTCTCCTTCGGAGAGGAGAGATGCCTACGGCGAGGACACGGCCAGGGCGGGGCCCCTTGGGCCCCTGGCCGGATTTACCAGGCTACCGCCTGCAGCCGCCGACCCCAAGGGAAAATGTAGTGGCAGGGTTGGGTCCCGGGATGGTCGCGGGCGGGGTCCTGCCAAAATCTAGACAAAGCCAAGAGCATTCCTACGAAAATGCTGGAAAAGCCGTATAGGCATGAGTACAACAATGGAAAAAATAGGTTAGCAAAAGGTTACCAATTTTGGGGGGAAATCTGGGAACCTAAAATCAAGAGGAAGCGCTAGAAAATTCTTGGAAAAGCATCTAACCGAAAACATAACAAAATCTAGACAAAGCCTAGAGCATTCCTACGAAAATGCTAGAAAAGCCTTTAAACATCCCATAAATCCAACAGAAAACATGACAAAATCCACGAAAAAGCAAGAGCATTGGCCGGGACCACGCCGCGACCAGCCCGGGATTCGAACCCAGGACCTTTTTAGACCGTGCTTATTTTCCCGCGCGGGTGGAGAGGGTGCCCCAAGATGTGAATCAATTGGGATGGCAGAATCTTGGACAATCCAGGTCGCCTTCACGTCGCAATCAGGTCGCATTCACGTCACAATCACGGCTAATCTCGTAGCTATCACGTCGCTTTTAGGTCGGGATTTCGTCACTGCAACAAGGGTCCGGAGGGGTAGGGGAGGTAAGGTCTAGGTCTAAGGCTAAGGACTAGGTCTAAGGCTAAGGGTAAGGCTAAGGCTTAAGTCTAAGGCTAAGGCTAAGGCTTAAGGCTAAGGCTAAGGCTTAAGGCTAAGGCTAAAATCGACAGTCACGCCTCACCCCACGGTGTGGGGTCGGCGGATTTTTCATAAAAGGCAACGTTACACTCCACCACATCACGAATCAGCGCTAGACACTCTACCATCGCATCAGACATTAATCGACATAAGGCCTTGGTTCACTCAGAGCCTCTCATGTTGCTTGCAAAGGTTTTATTTTCCGTTTCTAGTGAAGCTATTGTTTTCGCGAAAGAACTGCGAACGATAGGCATGTGGAAACAATAGCCAAACCAAGAAGACTTCTAGGATACCACGGGAAAGTTACACATGGAGTTCGCGAAAGATTCGCGAAAGTAAAGATCGAGCAACGAAGCATGAGGTTTCTGAAAGGAATTTAGATCAACCAACCACAATTATTGTATTGTACTTGTACCTTTTGAACATTCTGCCCACCAGTTCTGCCGGAGATTGCCCTCAGATTCCATGTCTTGATCATTTCCGGCTTGGCATATTCTGCCTGACACCGTCTTCTTGCAGGTCGTCGTTCGTTGGGGACCCTGCTCTGGGTGCACGCGGTATCTCTGGCGGCCAGCGGCGCCGCCTATCTGTTGCACGGACCATCGCCTGTGGAGCCGCCTGCTGCAAGGAGTGGTTAAATAGTGCAAGCATCACGGATAGTCAAGCAAGCGTGATAGAATCGATACGCATGCCAGAGCCTGTGGCCCTTGGAATCCGATGTTCTGAAACCAAGGCACGAATTATGTTTTGCGACGAGCCAACTTCAGGGCTATCCGCAACGGATGCTGAGCAGCTCATGCGTGCCTCGGCGCGGGTGTGCCGCCCTTGTCAACACCCTGAGAAACTCAATCACCACATATTCAGCACAAACCGCAACCACACCCTGTGCCAAGAGCCAGACTCGAAGACAGAAAGAAGTCTTAGGCTACATGCGATTGCTGTCCCACAAATATTCTGCACCATGGTTGCACTTTGATTTATCAAGTGCTTCCACCAGTTAGCACTGTCGGAGACAGATGTGCTTTTGCGACTGACGAGGTCCTCATCATTACTTCTATCCACCAGCCACGTCGAGAGGTTGCAAGGTGAACCATGACTATGATGAGCTTTGATTTTGTTTGGCTCTGTTTCATGTTTCCTGCTAGAGTCATTAGCTGTTTGATCATAGTAGGCTCTTCGACGAGTTGATCCTTCTCACCTCCAATCCTGGCCGTGCAGTGTATCAAGGGCCCTTGGACCGGTTGACGGGATTCATGGCAGAGGTCGGTGCATGGAACTAGGTCACTAGGTTGTGTGCTATTCTGCTATTTCTTCCAAGTGCTTGCTCCTCCAATTTTTCATAATTTCTCTGACACAGGTGATTGGCCACCCGATTCCGGTTCAAGTGTCACTGGGTGAAATGAGCGCGGAAATCCTCCAGTCCTGTTGTATTTGCACTCTCGACTTCTGTAGAGAGGATCTTGTGCTAAGGAATCCGACTGACTTTTGCATGGACCTCATCACCCCTGGGACCAAGTCTGCACGTGATCAGGATTTCATAAAGCAACTGGGCGAAAGTGGGAGATATACCTCGAAGCTTCCGCGAAAGGTAGACATGGAACACCATTGAAGTAGTCAATATATAAGTACGCATTACTCGAGGTATTATGATGAGAAGCAGCAAGAAATCATCAATGCACGAGTGGAAGAGGAGCTTTGGAAGGCCTGGAGCTCACACTCGAGATGTGTCATGGATCGTCGCGATGAGCTTGGCTGGGAAAGCCCCCAAAAGTGCAACACATTGGCTTCAACATCCTTTAGGAAACTGAATGGGTCTGTCCTGTTTGTTTGGAGTTCTCTTAGCAGCATCCTCTTGGAATTGTTAAGATCCTTGACTTACAATTGCCCTGAAAGGAACGCCAAACCACCATAGAGATTCTGCAAGCAGTACGTGAGCCCATGCGTGTCTTCGGCGAGCTACCACCATTGCGACACAGCACCTAGGCAGAGCAACATCACATTGTCAGCATGTGCAAGTGTATACTGTATACTGCTAGTAATTATATAAGCCAGTATGTGAAGTAGTTCGTTCTGTTGCCACGCAATGCCACATTCATATATCCTAGGCTTGATCTTGAACTAAGAAGACTCATACTATCTCACACTGCAAGCAAGAAGTTAAGTCCCCCTGAAATCAAGCGAGCGTGAGCTATCCCCGAAGGTGCTTAGGCGTTAAACTGTTACTTTGCACTCATTGCTATATAGCGTTGAACGAAAATGCATCTTCTGCATCATGATCTATGTCTAGGAGAGGGTTGGGATTGGGAGAAAATATGGAAAACGACTGGTTTTCACACATAATCTACAGTATTTATGTATGACTATATGTCTCATTATCGTATCATTTTTGTATCACTAGGTCCATGAATGAAATGCAACCAATCGACTCCTCTCAACGTCTTACTGTAATACATCTTTCATGGTTGCATCATTTGCATCAGCTGGTTGGAATTAATTGTATAGTTTATTATGGCAGCATGTGCGCCAGCTGGTTGCAGGTGTAAAGTTGGGTCGAACATATTTTCAACAGTGCTAACAGTTTTAGTCACTTCTCTATAGATTATTCATCCACTTCATGCTGCGTTCATCTCCAAGTTTTGTTCGATCATGCATATTGTATAGTTTATCGTATATATTCACTCTAAATTGTACACTGTTCAGGCTGTCATTCACTTGCAAGCATTGTTGGGTATAATTTGGATCCCCTGAAATGTGCAATTTCAAGGGGGGTTGATATCCAACGATGCTTGCAGCAAGTTGCAAGTAAGACACAACTCAGCAATTCCAAATTGGAGTCATTATAGATGTTTTTGATCCACATCATGCTGCGTTCACCTCTAAAGTCTTGTCTCGATCATGCACATTGTAAAGTTTATTGTGCATAGTCACTCCATTTGTCAACCCCCTTGAACATGTACAATTTCAAGGGGGCAGAGAAATAGATCCAACAATGCTCACAAAATGAACGCAACAAAGAAATAAACAATGTATATCAATGTATCAAAGGCTTCAAATAACAATGAGCTGCCTGTGCGCGCTTTCGAGACAGGTTGCCGGTGCTGGTGCTGGTGTTGGTGCTGTGAGCTGGCTGTGCACGTGGTGGTGACAGGGTGCCGGTGCTGGGTGCCGGGCGCCGGTGCTGTGAGCTGGAGACAGGGTGCCGGTGCTGGCGCTGGTGCTGTGAGCTGGCTGTGCGCGTGGTGGAGACAGGGTGTCGGGGCTGGGTGCCGGGTGCCGGTGCTGTGTGAGCTGGCTGTGCACGTGGTGGAGACAGGGTGCTGGTGCTGGGTGCTGGCTGTGTGCGCTTGGCGCGTTGCAGAGACAGGGTGCCGGTACCAGCAGTCATGGGCCGCATGAACTTATGCACGCAACATCATATGGTGTTGTCGCTTGAGCGTTCTTTGTTTATTAGCGCTGTGGGGTATTTACACTCTTCAGGTTCTGTTTTGGCCGACGGCTGTGTCAAGGGCTGTACTGTTTGCGCGCATACTTTTGTACGTATAATGTTCTACGTGCAACGTCAGGCTCTCAACCGACCATTGTTTCAGCATCTACACACCCAATAGTGGTGCTGGATACCGCCTTGGCCTTGGGCGAGTGAAGCCTACGGGCTTTGCCGTTTGCGCAGTTGCGCATTAATAAACTTATACGCGCAAGATCATATGGCCTTATCGTTCTACAGACCGTTGCTTCAAGCGTGCTACCAAGTCAATATTATATTGTGGCGCTGGATACTGCTTGGCCTTGGGCCAGTGGCACTTACGGGCTTTGCTGTTTGCGCGCGTGCTTTTGCGCGCGTAAACTTAGACACACAAGACAAAATAGCGATAAGGTTCTTACTTCAAATAAGAATGAGCTGGCTGCGCGCGCTTTCGAGAGGGTGTCGGTGCTGGTGCTGGTGTTGTGGTCCTGGACGCTGGTGCTGTGAGCTGGCTGAGCGCGTTCAAGACGGGCGGCGGCGCTGGTCGGGCGCTGGTGCCGCTGCCAGTGTTGTCAGCTGGCAAAGCGCACCGGTGCTGGTGTCAGCTGGCTGCGCAGGCTTCGCACATTCTTGTTCCAGCCAATCGTATGTCAACATTTCGTGGGATTCTGCCTAGCTATCTGGGTCTATGCTGGTGTAATTTACTTCCTCTCTGCGAGCCACTGGTGCGGGCGGTTGTTGTCGTTAAGCGACCTGAATTAAGTAGGTGCCTACTCAATTAAGTAGGGAGGCGGTGCCTGGGGCGAAAAAGATCGCAAAAGGAGCAAGGACAGAGCGACCCCCAGAGGTGACACTCCCGAGTATGGAGTTCGCAAGGTCCTTCAGTCGAAGTGCTTCAGTTCTGGCAGGTCCTTTGGTCCTTCCCTGTGTTTCTTCATGATTCTGAATTTTTCCTTTCAGCTCGCCTGCTCATTCCGGTTCATCCGTGTTCCTTTCCAGTGTCACCTGAGCAGCTAAGGCAAGTATGGAGTAAGCTTCTGGCAGCAGCTGAAGGTGGTGGCCTATCGACAAATTCGTTTGAGGAGCGCAGAGCTTTGGTTTGGATGCGGTGAGGTTTTCCTTCGTCAGTTTTGGAGGCGCCGAGACAAGATGCATTTCCTTGGAGATCTCATAGGAGCAGCTTGTTTGCATCAAGGGGCTCAAATTGCTGTATATTCCACCTGTAGAGACTCTGGCTCGCCGAGGCAGTAGCGAAGGCTGTGATTTTCATCCTTGCTTTCTACGAACCTTGCAGGCAGTTTGAGCACCGTTTGGAAAGGAGATGCTGCCGCCACACTCTTATAATCCATCATTTGGGCCTAAGGAGATCGGAAAGAAAGAGGCTCCGTTGCAGAGCGGATATTTCTTTTTTGCTGCTCTTCTGCGCTTCAGTGGGTTATTATTCTTGCTTTCTATAGAATTGCGCAAGAATGCCAGTGGGGCATGACCAACCGTTTGGCCACTTCAGGTGCTGATGGCCTGTTCCATTGACCAAGTGAAGACAATGCCAAAAGTTATTTCCGAGTCACTCAGCGGAGTGCCGAATGATTTTCTTTATGGCCTTATTCGTTGTACTTACCCCTGAGTCACTCACATGTCTTAACCTGCTCAAGCCCAGGCGAACAATCATGAAAATGGAGACTTCTGAGGCCAGAGAGTTTGGATGGCGCCTGTTCTGCAGTACAAGCATAATTCCATCCGTGCGGTGTGCCAGGCCTTGTACAGTGAGTGGGCCTACATCATTCCATTTACCATTATGAGCTTGGCGCAGGCTGGGCGAAGCGGATTCTAGCACATGCTCATTGCTGTGGGTTCAAGTGCCACACGCCTCCTTTTCCGTCCTGTCTATTACGATTAGCCGATTTGCGGCACGCTCTCCGACCCCTCAACATGTGCTTCCGTTGAAATTTTCAAGGATGTGTGTTTAAACTCACCGCAAATCCTCAACATATACTGTAATTATATACTATATTATATCCGATATCCTATTCAGTGCAAGGATGTGAACACAAGCGTCATGTCGTGGAGACAGGGTGCAAATCCACTCCGCCCAGGCGATCATTACTCATGCAGTGTGCCTCAGCTTTGTTGGACAAAGACTCCACAATGGGTCCAAGCGAGAAGATTCCCAGAGAGAGAGAGAGATAGAGGGAGAGTCGTGATTCCTCGAAGGAGGGAAAGAGGTCTAAGACAAAAGAGATAAACAAGGAGCGAAATAGTCGGAAATTTTGAGGTTCATGGCCTTGATGTGGCCATTTTTGTCATACCCAGCGTCACTCTTCAAGCACCTTTGTTGCAAGCGCGCACCAGCCAGATTTCGATTGCTTGTCACAACTTGTCGCTTCTACAAGCGCATGCGTTCTGGCTCGCGCACTTCAAAGGTATGTCTGGTTTTGGTCTCTGATGGTGAACATTGTCATGGATAGCCTCTACTTGATGTTGTCTGGCATCGCGAAGGACATGCCCGGCTGAGTGAAGGGAAAGAGCCTCACCACTGTTGATGATTGATGATATTCTGCAGTCGATGCTGCAAACCTTTCCATGGCAGGATGCGACTGCAGCACAGGTGATGTCACTACCTTTCCTGATAATTTTCATGCTGTACAATGGTGACCTGGTCTTGGGGGGATGATGGCAGGAAGCACTGAGCGCGTTGGCAAAATAACAAGCACTGACCTTGCAACCCCAACGTAATGATACAATGTATATATACACACACACCTTAAACATATATATGTATATACTGACAAACCAGTAGTGCCACAGTTGATGCCTTCAAGGCTTCACGGTCTTCACAACAGCACACCAGAACCTCTGGCAACCAGGTTTTGTTGTATCGTACAGTTTGGTGCAGCCTTTGACGGCAGTTTTGAACAGCAAAGATTCCACATCCGAGTTGAAATCCATCCGTTACGAAAGAGTGTTGAAGGGTTCGAGAGTTCAGAGTACATGCACTTATATAACACTTCGAACTTGGGTTTTCAGTTAACGCAATTGTCTCGTTGGGAA